AATCTGTGAGTTTCACGTGGCCAGTAGAGTCAACGAGGAAGTTCTGTCCCCGGATTGATTGTTTAGTGATGTGCAGGTGAGCCTCACGATGTTTCGGACGTACCTCCGGCTTAAGATCTCGATGAATGTACCCGAGCTTGTGCAGCTCGCACACGGCCGCGAACATCTCGCTGATGTAGAATCGTGCATGTTCCTCCTTGAGTACGCCAGAATTGTTTAGTAGTGTCCGAAAGTCACCCCCAGGAACATATTCCATGGCGAGGTAGACATGCTGTGCATCTTGAAAAGCATACAACAAACGAACCAGCCAAGGAGTTTTCGTCGCTGTGAGGATGTCTCGCTCTACAAGGACGTGTCTGACCTGAGAGACCCCTGGTCAAAGGCGAGATCATGACTTGGGAAGTCAGAAAGCGACGTACCTCATCCATTTTGAACAAGGTTCGTTTACGCATTTTCTTTAGAGCGCATACCTCCCCGGTCTCCTGCTTGCGTGCCAGATATACCTCGCCATAACCGCCCTGTCCGACTTGAGCTATGATGTGGAATTGTTCTACCCGCAGTTTTGCACGCCTCCTTCGCAGAAGAACACGTTCACGTCCGCAATAAGATTTGAACTCTCTGTTGTAATCGGCAGCCGCGAGATTGCGTGATGCTGTATCTTCGTCAAATTTTGCACGACGTTCTTTGCGAGCGCTGATATGGCCTAAAAGTTGGAAATAGTAATCAAGGAAATCTAAGAGGAGGAGGTCAGTATGGATTGGATCCTAAGGATGAGACCACGTGCATAACTGTGCTACGGTGGACTTGCGGCGAACCTCGGACGATTCTAGGAGCTCGCGCTCCCACAGCTGGAATTTGTTGTTCTTGATGGTGGTGCCAGAACGTGCGGTCTCCATGATGATATCATTGGAGAGGGTGGCCATACGAACATAGGGAAGGCCAACAGCGGCCGAGTTGTTGGTTGTCTGGGTGTCCATTGGCTAGGTCGCCTAAGTTATGTAAGCCTCAGCTCATCATCTTATGGAGCTCAGATAAGACAAGCAAAATATTTTCAACCAAACCACTTCATGGCTTCAAATCTCCTTCAAGGCGTCTTGAAGCACTCAACGCACGAGCGTCTAGATACTCTCGTTCACGATAGGGATGATTCAGACGATGAACTTGTCAACGTCGTATGTTTCATCTTGTATTTCTGTGGGCCCCAGAACCACTTAAGATCCCCAGTTTTCACTGCCAGGAACACCCGCACGCTCTCGTCCATCGACGCGTCCGCCATCACCCTGTCGCGGAACGCCCAGTCGCCTCGCTCGTGGACTTACAACATCCGCCAAGCAATCCACTGATCCCCTCAAGGCGTTTCCCACTGAGATATCCCAGCGAATATTTACTCTACTCAGCATCCGTGACCTCGCTCGATGCGCATGTGTCTCTCGGAAATGGCACAAGAGTCAGACACTAAATTATGGTGTGTCAAGTTTCGCGCGTTGTGTCTCACGAGTCACACATCGGTATCCAGTTTGGTTTCAACACTATAGAAAGGAGAATTTTCACGACACAAGCCTACCTCAGGGTAAATGGACGAAGCGTGAATCAAAGCAAAAATGGGTACATCGCGATTTTGAATGTTTCGCCTTCATATTTTAAAAATTTACCAGTCGTCGATGTATGCACAAATGACTTCAAATCGTTCGCCGCCTCTTGGGCCAGTTCGGTCCCGTTCTGGACATGTGTCACCTGCGACATCCGGATATCAGACCCCTCGAGAGATTCGGGAGGAACGTTGGCGCCTTGAAGCCGAGGCAGTTGAGAAGCCCGGTAAGATAGAGATGCGGGAGATGTACAAAGAACTCAATGGACGTAAGTCGAAGGCTAAAGGCAAGCTAGGAGGGACAGGAGGTATAAGAGACAAGGGTGGATGGATAGGAAGCTTGGATGAAGGATGTGATTAGAGATAGTAGTGTCAAGATATGCGTTAGTGCTACAGGCTAATTAAGCGCTAATTAATTCATCTAGGAGGCTGGAGGTTATTATGTTATCATTGGGCTGGGGTCAGGCTATCTGTCAACATTTCAAGAGCTACGGTTACTGTAACGAAAGCTCCTTGATCCCGCCTTCCACGCAGTCAAGGGGCATAGTCCCCACTTTGAGAAATTAAACTCGCAGATGTTTTGGCGTCTAAGAACAGTTCGTTCATCTCGTTAATGTCCTCGGTCTCGATTTGATCACGCCCAGCCAGCCTTGCCAGAATTGACGCGGGTGTTAGTAGTTGTATTGCGTATCTGCGCCAACACAGGGGTATCAGGGGCAGATTTGAAGGAGTCACATAGCCAGTCCTACCGGAGGGAGGACTTCTCGCCTTCAGTGGCAAGTCTCTCGATCACGCCTTCACCAAGTTTGAGGCGCTCGGTGTTTGCGCGGAGTTGAACGACTTTGGCAACTTGGTCGCGTGTGTAACCATCCGTCTTCACGATCAAACAACTGGAGACGATGAGAAGAAAGTCATGCAGGAGAGAAGCTTGTGACATACCGATCTAACAGGTCTGTGGGGACACCGTGTAGGGCAACGATATCAGTCGTCCCTCGTACGAGCGAGTTACCACGGTTGGAGCGAGGATCACAGTAGGCGCCATTGAGGACTCAAGGAGGGCATTGAGATAAGTAAAACATTCAATGTCAAGCATATGAACCTGAGACGTCGAACGAGTATCGTGAGCGTTGAGCCTATTATCGTGAACGAGGGCATACTTCATCAATAAAAACGATACCAGGGACTACCTCTGCCACGCCCTGGTCGACGTAACTCTGGACGACCTTGTTAACCTCTCGTCGCAGTTTTTCTGTTACCTCGGTCCTGCCACTCTTGACCAAGCTTCCCATAACGCTCATAATGTCTTGCCCTCCCTGCGGCCGTGCGTTGGCGGCACCAAGATCACCGAGCGTGACATCTTGGACAAGCTCCTTGCGCTTGTGGACATCGCCCTTCGGAAGGGGCACGTAGGTCTCTGATTCTAGGTCATATGACGATGCATAAGCATCTGAGCGACCCACGCGCTGCAAGTTCATGGAGGGTCTATGAACATAGGCGAGATAATCGAGCGTAGACCATACCTTCACAGCCCCTGTATTCGCCTCAATATAAATTACATCCCCAACAAGAATCTTTTCTTTAAGAATGGCCTCGTAGATCGTTGGATCAAGGCGCAGTTGCTTGGTGCCTTTTCCAGTTTTGAGGCCCACAACAACATGAGATACAGTTTTGCCATATCCGCTGAGCGGATTTTCGGACTCGGATGGGGTGAGTTCCGTTACTTCGCCTTCATAAACCTCTTTGGTTTCTTTTATTCGCAATCCTGAAGAAAGTGCCTGAACAACGCGTGAAAGGAACGAAGGAAATACGCGTGTGCACACCGATCGCGCGCCGGAAGGCTTCCGCAAGCACTTCCGTCTTCTTCACCTCTGTGGAATACACTTCCGAGCCGACCATAGGACAAAAGGGAATTTTTGTGCCAAGTTCGTGCGAGATAGCCAAAGCGAGCGCGGTCTTGCCGGTGCCCGGCGCACCTACGAGGAGCAACGCGCGTCCCGAGAACCTACGGGACTTGACGAGTTCGACGACCACTCCACACGCCTACAGAATCCTGGTAGTGAGAAGAGGAACTTTGAACGAGGCGGAGTTGAGATGTGCACCTCGCGCGCGTTGTTCTGCCCTACAAAACCGGCGCCGTCTGTAGCAGCTAAACCTTCGGGAGTGAGACCGAGGGCTTTGATATGAGAATGAGGCGCGATGCGGGAGGAGCGTGCCAAAGACGCTGATGAAGGTGGTGGGAAGGCACTGTGAGTGGGCGGCGCAGCATTTGCAGAGTTCGAAGCTTTCATTGTCATTGTAGTTGAGGACGAGAAATGACCCGCACACACTGACAGGCGCCTTCGCCGTTTGTTCAAGCCAAGTACTGCAGTGGCACAACTTGCTCCCCTCACTCCTTCACTCATTATTGCTCTCGCACAATGTATGTCATCCATTCCCCCGTTTAATGCTATTCGACCAGTGTTCTACAATACAATGTCAGGCCACCGAAGGGATCAACTCGAAAAAAACCCTCCGCTGCTCCGAGTACGGAAGGCACAGCTACACCTCAGATCCCAGTGCGCGCGCCATCTGGCCTTTGTCTCCTCTCCTGGAACCGCCCCAGCTGATGGGACTGGTGCTAGACCCTCGCAGAGCAGCTATCTATTTTATCTTCCCCGCGGCCGTTTAAGAACCCTACTTATACCAAGAATGCGAGCCGCCGTACCAAAAACTTGAAGGCTGTTCTCGGGCAGGAACGCGAACGCGAAAGGTTGGAGAGGGAGAAGCGGAGAGCAGAGCGCGAGGAAGCTATGGAAGTTGATGGGGCTGCTGCTGCGGTCGGAGTCGCGGTCGAAGACGAGATGCCGTCGTGTGGGTGGGCCAGTCGCAGCTTTGAACTGAACTCTCCTTACTGACCGCAACCTAGATCTGTCCATCGAGGCGCCACCGTCCGTGCTGCCACAGCGTCGGTATTGCGATATTACTGGCCTAGAAGTGCGTGAATTATCCGAGTCGGAGGTACTTCATGGTCTCAGTGGTAGAATATTGCTCAGGCACCATACACGGATCCAATTACTGGGCTACGCTTTCACGACAAGAGCATTTACGAGCTCATCAAAGGTTTGGTCAGTACCTATCGTTTCCTCTCTCGTTGGTCGCTAGTCGCTGACCGAGGGTGCGTGATCCAGTCTGCCAGTGCAGCAAAGGACTACCTCGCCGCTCGGGGAGTCAACCCAATTGTCAAGTGATTCCGAATCTATCAGTTGTTTTATTATAATCGTTTTAGCTGTACATACTGTAGGATGGACCATAAATCTATTTCATGTTATCCTTCACCCTGGCTCCAGCACGCTACGGTACGCCCGATAGGTAAATGGGCAAATCATGGCACTACAACTACTTGACAGGTCGCGTTTGATGAGTGGAAAAAATTTGACAAGAAGGGGATTCGAACCCCTGCCTGCATACGCAGATGAGAAACCCGAACTAGTCAGGCAAGCTTTACGCTTGAGTCACACGCCTTGGACCACTCGGCCACCTTGCCCTAGACTACCATCGTAGAAAGATGATCCTTGTATTAGTCCGATTTTCGTTTCAAGTACAAAGCCTATAAATTGGACGATCACGTGTTAAAAGAAACCTAGCCTCGGCCTCTTCGTGTCGTATTCTCGTCGGCGGCAGATGTTCACACTGGCTCGACTTCGTACCATTCTAGTCCCACTCGCGAGAGCCAATTCAACACTCCAGTCCCTCTCGAGCTCACCATCGCTCTCTGCCTCGTCTGCCACCTCCGACGCGTCTACCAGCCCACATGGTGCTGAGATAGTCCCGACCTCTGAGCCAACACGCAGGACTCGGGGTCGCAGGAATCCAAAATACCCTGCTATTCGCCCGAGTATTAGCCTCGAAAGGCCTCGTGAATGGAACCCTCCCGTCGCGCCTGGTTTCATCCCCGCATATGACGAAGCAGTCGCCTACATTCGGTCAGACGCAGCTGCCGTACAAGCGGAAGCAGATGCCCTTCGATCGAGCCTAGAGAAAGGACAAGTTCCGGCTGAAGGCACAGAAGATGCGAAGAAGAGATTGGACGTGCTAGAAATTATGGCACAAGTAAATTTACCGGAAGTGAGGTGGAAGGCTGCAAATGGGATGGGTCGGTACTTCTATTCAATCCTCAGTCTTTGGTTGACGAGATACTTGTTGTAGCGGATATGAGTCAGAAGGTCTATCGTCATCTTATTGAACAGCGCTGGCGAAAAGAGGGCGCTTTGGACCTTCTTGTACGCTTCTCCGGTATATTTTGTCACTTGTCTTGTTCAGTATCTCCGTTGTAGATGGAACGTCTCTACCAGATGCACGTCATTCCAGACATTCTTCCTGGCCTTCAGCCTACTGTCGACCTCCGTGCGGTTTTCCCGGAAGCCCCGCCGAAGAATCCTGTTCTTCGTGCAAGAGCAAAGAGAAAGACTGCTCCGGTCGAGGCGGGTGTTTTCTTAGTGAACGAGCAGGTATATATGAACGTGGAAGCTGTCTTTCCAACAGGCATTGATGCAGTCTTGTTTAGACGCGCCGACCACCGAAGCTTTATACCACGGTTTTCCATCCGGAGCCAAGGCTCTATACCTTGCTTATGGTTGACCCGGGTAAGTGCGCTGCCTGTTCCATCAGATTATCTTATTGGAATCTCACCCAGACGTCCCCGACGAGGAGAATCAGACATTTAAGATATTCCTTCATTGGTTGCAGTGCGTTTGTTTGTTCTCAGTTTATGCGCTCTGTGATGTGAAGTAACGTTGTCAATAGGCCAAATATCACGCTCTCTGCCACATCAGCTGGTTTGCTCCCTTCTGCTGTGCATACGCCTTATCTACCCCCACATCCTGCGCGTGGGACCCCATATCATCGCTACGTGCTGCTGTTGCTTCCCCACGAAGATCCGACCGTGAGGCTCTCGCTTCCTCCCGGCCCACTTGAACGAGATGCCTTCGATGTACGAAGCTTTGTGCAGGAACACGCACTTCGGACAGATGGCGGTGGCGCATTTATGTGGCGGGCAGTATGGGATGAGGAAAGTTCGACGATATGGAGAGCTGTCATCAGTAAGCATCCTTCGCATCTGATCTGGGCATCTGTCTGATTCGTTGTGCAGAAAATCCGGAGCCTCGCTATGGATATCCGCCTAAGCCAGACCCATACGCAACTTTGAAGGAGGTGAAGAAGTATGCGTAAGGTGATTTGAGGTTAGCCCACATCTTAGGGACCACCAATAATAGATTTGATCTACTCTTGTCGAAAAAGCGGCTCGTCCGGCGAAACTTTCGGCTGTTCAAGTTCCAAGGTTACGACATGGCGAAGGAACAAAGATAGCAACACCCTGGAAATAAGATTACGGAGAAGACTTGTGCCTTACTGCGTTGCCCTTCGGCAAAATAGCTATGGCTATGGCACTACCATTCTGGGAGGCCATAGGGAACAACTCCCCCTAGACAATTTAATGGGTCGTTCGTTACAACTCAATAGTCCCGAGATAAATCAGGGATGGTGAAATGGTAAACTCTAGCATAAGGGTGCGTACGACACATGATATATAGTCAGATCCTAGGCCAGAATGAATGACAAGTGGGGGGAGTTCAAGCCGTGACTAACACCATACTGGTACTCTCATGCATGGCTTTGGCGAAATCCTGCGTGCCAATCCTTTGCTTTCAGCTCTTAGTAAATCATAGAAAGCTCACCTTTTGCGAGGTGTGGTCGGTACTCCGGTCAATGACACCAAGGATAGAGCCCTCTATGGTCACGGTACAGCGTCCCCAGGGTTCGGGGCAGCCGTGAACCTGGAAATAGTGGTCGTGACCCCACCTTCTGCATCCAAGGCCAGCTTGGTCCGAATGCGGTCGCGGGAGCCGGACTGTGGGAAATTCATACACATATGGACAAGATATTAGTAAGCATAAGCATCCTAATAGTCCACCATGACAAAGCTTAAGGCCCTGGACAGCACCAGGAAAATCCCAGGAAAATCCTCAAACATTTTGCTTCAGGGTTTTCCAGAGATCATGTGTGTGACAGGGGTGTCCATTCATGACATCACACAATCATTTTGGCAAAATGAAAATGCATGATGCATGATGCATGTGACTGTGAGCTTGCCTCTCAGTTGTCATCATGGTCAGCAGTGGAGTCGCAAATTTGGAGTTGCAAATGTCTTCCTGCCATTCCCCTTTCTTGCCATGGTGTGTGTTTGCATGATTGTCACTGGCATAGACTGTGACTGGGATAGCTAGACTTCAGCTTCAGGTGAAACATCTGCACTACTTGCGGAGAGTGGAAAGCATGCCATGAGTCTCCCCCTGGGGTGACAACAAGGTCACAAAAGCCTGTATACTCCTAGTCAAGGACTAGACAGGGACAGGACAAGAGACTCGACTTAGAGAATCCTTGCCTGAGTGCCTAATGTGCTTATATACATGATAGGCCTAAGGCCTAGGTCCTAGTCTGTATTAGTACAGTATAGTAAGCATCATATAGTAAGCTGAGCAATCCGCTCACCAAGCAGCAATCTAAAGATAGCACACTTACTAAAGTGCTGACTGATACCTTAGCAATACTAAAGGACTTCCCAAGCCCTTACTCATCACTTCTGACTAACCATTAGTCAAGCACAGTCATAGTGCTTACTCAAGTGTCCTAGCTTCATCATCCTGCCTTGCAGGCATCCTACTAAGCATTGTCCATGCCATATCGCATGTGCCGGCCCGAACAGCATAACCAAGCTGTGCTTCTGAATCCTATCTTGAATGTCCATGAGCCATACTTACCTCCTTGTTGCCTAACAATCTGCCCTCCAGAGTCTCACCAGACTCTATCCTTGGGCTCCAACATCTTGATCTGCCCTCAAGGGACTCACTAGCCCCAATCCTTGGGCTCCACTGACCCTCACCGGATGTCTCCATGGTTCTCTAGCTTGCCAGCTAGCCGCGCCATGACAATGATGATAGTCAAGAGAAACACGAGGAACTCCTGAGAATCTGAGAATTCCCATTCCTGCCCATCACCCATCACATACATCAGGTCACATGCATCACACATCACACATCATGCATCAAACATTTTCATTTTGCCAAAATGATTGTGTGATGTCACAAATGGACACCCCTGTCATGCACATGATCTCTGGAAAAACCTGAAGCAAAACATTTGAGGATTTTCCTGGGATTTTCCTGGTGCTGTCCAGGGCCTAAGGCTTTGGTCTCACTTTGGGGGCTTTTTATAGGCCCTGTGGCTACTGTACAGTAAGTACATATGACTAAGTAAAGAGCTGATGCATCTCTAAGGCATCATACTAAGCATATATGACTACAAGATAGTAAGCACATATGACAAAGTAAGTGATGATGGATCTAGGTGGCATCCTACTAAGCCTATATGACTAAGAGGCTGGGTGACACATTTAAGTGGCCTCATGAGGCTGTGAGACTATGAGACATGGTGGCATTTTAGTCTGTAAGTATTAGTAATGAGCTGAGGCAACACAACATAAAGTGGAGGGCAGTGAAGCATAATAGGGGTGTAGTAATGTATGGGGATAGATGTGGAAGTGGCTCCCTGCCAGTCCATGAGAAAGCAATGAGGTAAGCAAAAATAGTCCCACAGTCTATAACAGATTTTCATTTTCTAAGTCAATCCAATTGCTTAACTTTGCTTAACTTCTCCTTAAACCATCTCTTAAGAAACTTATATTGAACTTGAGGGAAATCAAAAGTCATTTATCAAGGCAGTTTTAAGGATGAAATTAAGACATATATTCAGCACCAAAATAAGCAGGCCTTGAAGGATCAATACAATTCTGACAAAATTGGTGAGAATATATAAATTAGTGGGAAAATGCATCCACTTGTTGAGCATGTAGAAGTGCTTGAGGTATTGATTCTAGGGGCAAAGTATATATATTAGTAACATTGAAAGAGAATATAAAATTCACTCATACTTGTGCTTGTCAACAAGTCTTGCATGGATGTCATTCAAGTCCATGTTGATAGTGCACTCAAGTAGGCAGGGGTGGGGAGGTGCTAGTGCATGTGTGCAGGCAGGTGAAGGTGGGCAGGTGGGCATGGATGGGCAAGTGTGGACAGGCAGGCACAGGTACAGGCAGGGCAGGTGGATGTGGGTGCAGGTGGGTTGGAAATGTGGGCATAGGGATAAAGAAAATATAAAAGTACTCACCCATACCCATATGCAGGCAGGAGTGGCCAGGCAGCAGTGGGTGTGTGCAGGTTGAAACTTGTCAGTTGACACAAATAAGAATACAAAGTGATGCAAGTCACATCCACATGAGCTAAGTTATGTGTATAGAACAACTTCATGGACTTGTTGCATTTCCCATACTCTCAACTGAGCATGGCTAAAGGCAATATTATTTCATGTATTGGTGTCTTACTGGTCCACAGCAAGCATGGGATAGGAAAAAAAGAAAACAAGGATACTCACTAACCTGTGCCCACCATATCTGGCCACACCTGCCTATGCCTGGCCACACCTGCTATG